AAATCCCTGGTCAGTTGCATTTACACACGCACAGGAAAAGATAATGAAAGAGAAAGTTCCCACACCTTACCTTGATTGAGGCTTTTCAGGGGAATGGTCCCTGCTGATACCTGTTATGTGGCATAATTGTTAAACACAAGTTCTTCTCTCCTGAAAGTGTCACAGTTGGAAAATTAAATCATAGAACTCATAAGCTGCTTTTTCTTTACAATAGTTCCCCCCTCCTTTTAGGAATGTGTTAGTGGCCATGTGATTTTTCTCTGTAAATCATCCCATGTTCCAGATTTAGCTGATGCCATCCTCATTGTTTTAACTTATTCCTCCCAATATCACAGGTACTTGCAGTTAGATCCCTAAATAGCCCGTGTGTGTACGCACGGCAAGAGTGCTCACGATGGTGCTGAAATCTGTTCTACATGTCCTTCAGGACGTGCACAGTGGCTTCTTGTTTGTGACTTACTGATGTTTGCTGTGCTCATGGTTCCCTCTAAGTTTCACATGAAAATTTCGCATCTGTTGGTGATTATCATCTGTTTCCATTATTTTGGTAGCTTGCAAATTGACAGGTTTTTTGATGTGGGGTGAATTTATTTTCCTAGTTTTTCTACACTGCATATGTATGAGTAGCTGATCTTATTTACACTTGAAATATTTTACAAATTAGAAGTTCAAATGAGATTTAAAAGGCTAGGAACTTTGTTACATAGATTATCATTTTTATTTGCTCTATTAAGTCAATTTAACCATGAGTGGAAATTCTAAGTCATATTCAAATGACTGTCATGCTAATACTAATCATTTAATGACTCCTAATTGGGATGACAGTGGCTTTTAGTAGCCACTTCATTTTAATTTTAGTGTACGGTCATACATTTGATTCTTATATATTTGTCTTATGTCCTGCCAACTTCCCATCGTTTCGTTACAGTAAGAGTTTTTGGTGCATTCTTTACAGTTTGCTACATATAATATCATGTCATCTAAAAAATAGCCCAAAGTGATTTCTTCCTTTCTAGTTCAGGTGCCCATGTTTCTTTTCCTTGCCTAATTACCCTGATTAGGATCTTAAAAACATGAAAAGAATTAACAAGAGCAGACCTCCTTATTCCACTCATTTTATGGGGAAATTTTCAGTTTCTCACTATAAGTCCTCATGTAGTTTTTGTGTAGATTTCTATAAGTTCAGAAGTTCCTTTTTGTTGGTTTGTTTATTATTTTCATCTTAAAAGGGTGTTGGATTTGTCTGCTTTATCTGAGTCTAATAAAGTGACTGTGTGATTTCTCATCTGTTAGTGTAGTGCAGTGGTTAATTTTGTGCACTGAACTACCATTGCATTTCTGGGATATATCCCATGTCCCCAGAATGTATCCTTCCTTTCATATGTTGCTGATCCAG